GTGTGTGTGTGTGTGTGTGTGTGTGTCCCTTTCAATCTGGCCAGTCTGGCCTCTCCACCACAGACAGTTTCTTCATTCCTAGGCCTCGGCCTGCATCCCAGTCAGGGTTTTCAGGGAGTGTGAACATGACGTTACAGTGAGGCTGCTTCAGAGTTTGGCCCATGTGTCCATCCAGACTCCAGGTGGAGTATGTGGCTCGCCTCCAGGGCAGAGGGGGGTGGTAGGGCCAGACTCTGCCCAGGCAGTCCTCACCGTTGGACAAAGGATCAGATGGCATCCCAATGGCTCACCCTCCCTCTCCCCTCCACCCCAATTCAGGTGGAGGGGAAGCAGCTGTCACCAGAGCCTATGTTGGTGAACGTTTAGACTCAGCACAGAACGAACATCAGTGGTGAACCTGAGGGTATCTAGCATTGGGAGCAGGTTGAGAAGAGCCGTGTCACTGAGATCACTGAACCAGGACTTGATGGGAATGGCATTGTCTGGATGGCTCTTGTAAGCCCCTGGGGAGTTTCAGATCACAATGCTGGAGAGGTCACTGTGGACCACAAGAGGTCCTTAATGTAGCTGCCCAGCTCCAAAGTGCAGTGCTGTCTATAGTACCTCCTCTTGAGAATGCTTCTGCTGTTGTCCAGTGTGTCTGCCACAGCAGAGCCATAAATTTTCATGCGTGGTGTGAACACCACTAGCTCATACCATTGGCTCATCACTTCTAAGAAGAAATCCACGTGAGGCCTCTTATGTATGAAAAACTGGACAGGATGTTTGTGTATTACCACCTTGAGGGTGAAGTCAAGAGGTGGTCCATGGTGGACTGTGGGCCTCACAACCCTGTCATGGTGTGAGTGAATAAGTGTCCCATCCAGATATAGTACCAGGATCTTCATTTTCACTTGGCCTAGCCGATTCCGGGACCAGGGATAAAGGAAGGATGTCATATCAGTGTGATACTGTATTACCGTGCAGTTCTGCCTCTGCAAAAACTAAATGAAGAAGCTCCAGAGCTTGGCGGCAAAGGCTGCGAACGTGCACAGCCCCAGCAGACGCTGAGTCCGCATCATCCCAATGACCCCTGCATTGCAGGCCCCGGGGCCCCTGAGGCCCAGCTCCGGCAGCAGCCCCCCCCCCCTCCCAGGCCACCAAAGAGGCTGCAGAGAGCAACACAGAACGGGCAGTTCAGAAAGCCACTTCCGATGAGGGGAAAGCCCAGTTGAATGCGTTGGGGGACCACATGGATGGGGAGTGACACCCACAGCTTCACGGAGGTTGTAGGCTGAGACAGGTTGGCCTAGGATAGGGTCCTCCAAGACCAGAAGGGAAGGGGATGGAGAATTGGGGGAGGGGGCCAGGGAGACAGGAGGGAGGGAAAAGGGCTCCATGAGTTTTTTAAGGCCCCTTCACATAGTAATATTATTTGAAAATTTTTTGATGCTTTAATCTTTTTTTAAATCGATCAACAAAGTTTATATACTACTTGCATAGTATTTTAAAAACCAAACAATTGTATACCTAAAGAATACAACCAAATTTAATGCATATAATTCTTATATGATAGACATTTGTTGAGTGAAAGGAAGGTTTGTGTTGGACCGTGAAGGAAAGTTCAGATTTAGCTGTGTAGAGTAAGCATGAGAGGTACACGTGAATGGTTAGATTTATTGATTATTGTGTACCCAAAGGGAAATTTTCAGACTATAATGTTAGAAAGATAGCTTACGACCACATGATAGAAACACTTGAATACCATGCTAGGAATTTTAGGCTTTGTTCTCCAGACAGCTGAAAGGCAGAAACACAGTACAATAAATGGAAAAGAAGGGCCAGACAGAAGGCTAGAAATTATTTTGGCAATTGAATTGCCAAAAATGGCTGAAGGTGTGAATAAAGATAGATATGGAAATATAGTTACTGATTTACAATAGAAAATTAATTGGAACTTGATGGCTAGTGAAATGTGGAATTCAAGGAAGAGATGACTCAAAGAGGCTGGAGTTTCAGATGTCACCTTTAACGGCATATTTTGGAGAATGGCAGTGATATTAATTAGAAACAGTGATTTTAGGTGGTAAATTTGAGGTAATGGTGGCACTGGTGGCTATGTATCAGAATCATCTTTCCAGCAGTAGGCTGTCTCCGTGTTCTGGGGTTGGTAGGACACCTAGATAAAAACAGTGAGTGTGTTGCTACTTCCAAAATGATGGAAGCTCCACAGATTCAGGATAGAGTTATCTTCACAGAAAAGGAGGTTGAAACCTGGGGATTCAAAGCCTTTGCCAGGAAAAGAGTTGGAGAGAAACAAAAGCAAGCCACACCCTACTGAGGTTCCTCCTTTAGAGGGATGCCGGGCGAGGAGCCAGAGAAAGAGTTTGGGTTAGAGACAAAATGAAACCAAGAACAACCCAAGGAGAGGGGGGGGCGGGGGGCGGGGATACTTAGGGAACTACTTGAATTCCCAGCTCTTTTTAGTAAGGTTTATGTATAACTTACTTATAAAGTAAGTTATACACCAATAAATAAAATGACATAAGTTGATTAAAGGTATTATAACACACACACCCCACCCCCAGGAAATCTGAATTATATCATTACATATTACAAATAGATAGTTCGTTAGTTTTAAAGAATATTTTTATGGGCCAGAGAAATTGAAGCATGATTTTTAAAAAAAATCATTTTATTGGGGGCTTTTGCAGCTCTTTATCACAATCCATACATCCATTCATTGTATCAAGCACATTTGTACATATATTGACATTATCATTTTCAAAGCTTCTCACTTTCCCTTCCCTCACCCTTCCTCATGAACCCTTGATAATTTATTTGTAAAAATTTTCTCCTCGTCTTAACACCAATGCAGTCTCCCTTTACCCACTTTTCTGTTGCCCATCCCCCTAGGAAGGGGTTATATGTAGATCATTGTGATCAATTCCCCCTTCTGCCGGCCACCTTTCCCTCCCCCTCCTGGTATCTCTATTCTCATTATTGGTCCTGAGGGGTTTATCTATCCTGGATCCCCTGTGTTGCAAGCTCTTATCTGTAGCAGTGTACATATGCCCTGGTCTAGCCAGATTTGTAGGGTAGACTTGAGATCATGGTAGTGGGGTGGGGTGGGGTGGGGGAAGCATTAAAGAATTGGAGGAAAGTGGTATGTTTTGTCAGTGCTATACTGCACCCTGACTGGCTCATCTCTTTGTGACCCTTCTGTGAGGGGATTTTTAATTGTCTACACATGGGCTTTGGGTCCCCACTTCGCAGTCCCTCTCATTCACATTGATAGGATTTTTTGTTGTGGGTCTTTGAATACCTGTTACCTTATCCCATTGATCCCTCATGATCACCCAGGCTGGTGTGCTTCTTCCATGTGGGCTTTGTTTATCTCAGCTAGATGGCTGCTTGTTTATCTTCGCGCCTTTAAGACCCCAGATGCTATATCTTGTAATAGCCAGGTACCATCAGCTTTCTTCACCACATTTGCTTATGCACCCATTTGTCTTCAGTGATTGTGTCGGGAAGGTGAGGATCACAAAAGAAGCATGAGTTTTTTTAAAAAGTGATTAGTGGTTGTCTTAATTGAAAGCCCTGAGATTGTCAGAGGAAAGGCATTTTTTACTTGTTAATTCTGTATGAATTAACGTCTATACAGCTAAGTAGGCAAATTCTAAATCAGTGCATTTTACTGTAACATCTACCTTCAGCACTTACATATTTTCTTAATAGTATTGAAGAGTATTTTATTAGAATGAAAGGACTCACAAATATATTTTTTGTTTTTACCCTCAGTAATTTTTGTTGTTATTCTTTCTTTCAGGATCTGACTGGCATAGAGTCTATGGATCAATGTCGCCATACTTTGGAACAGCATAACTGGAACATAGAGGTATCTGATAGAATTCATTTTGAGCTTATTCATTTCCTTGATCTGGTAAAGAAGCAAAAGTCAAACCTTTTTTTACAGCAGCAATCTTTGCCTTCGATAGAGTACCCCATTCCCTAAATTACAATGGTTTCATTTTTATAAAATCAAGATATAGTAAAGGTGATGGATATAATCAACAGTTATAAAATTATAGAAAAGATTAAGTTGACCAAATTCCTTAAGAGAGTCCTTGTCCTCTTTGTTTTTTCTTGGCTCTTTGGAAAAAATATGGAGCTTTATGTAGGTGCCCTAGTGGTCTAGTGGTTATTCATTAGGCTCTGATATGCAAAGTCAACAGTTTGAAACCACCAGACACTCCGAGGGAGAAAGACACGGCTTTCTATTCCCATAAAGAGTAGCAGTCTGGGAAACCCATAGAGGCACTTCTACCTGGTCCTATAGGGGCACTATGAGGCAGTGGCTCGATGGCAGTGAACTTGGTTTTAAGTTTTATATATTATATTTATAACCAGATACCTTAATGTGAATCTCTATACTGCATATTTTAGAGTCTATTCTATTGGGCTTTTATAGAGTCATTACTTCTACAAATCATGATATATATATTGCCCTTTTTTGTTCCTCAAACTTTTAAAGTCCATATTAATGAGTTTTCTAACATTAACTCTTTTGGATTCTGAAAATAAACTTTTTACCAAGGTTGAATGTTCAGTTCCATTCTTATTCTTCTTATTCCCCATATGTGCAGAGTAGAAGTACTCTATAGGGTTTTCTAAAGCAGATCACCAGATCTGCCTTCTGAGGGGTTCTGGGTGAGCTCAAACTGCAGTCTTTTAGTGAAGAGTCAAGTACTTGACTGTGTGAGCTATCCAGGGACTAATGAATTTCTCAAAATGTCCTCTCAAGTGGTGCTTTTCAATTATTTGGGTGTTTTTTAGCTATTAGTTTTAGGCTGTTAATATACCAATAAACAAGACCAAGTCACTTCTCCAATGAAACTTAATTCAAGTTTAGGGAAAACAAAATAAACAGGTAATTTCATTTTGTGATACAGGCAGTCCCTTTAGTATTAATAAGTTGTGTTACTAGGTATAGTGCAGTGAATTATTTAATATTCTTCTTCTAGCTTTAGTCTTTGATACTTCCACCAAATGACTACTTTCTAATGGATCTGGCAAGAGACGGTGGGAAAGATACTGTTAGGATTCCATTGTGAGTGATTGTTAACCGGGTTAACTGTGATTGTCATAGTGCTGGATAGATAATGAGCCATCAAAAAAAAAAAAAAGGAAAGAAAATGAGCCTTCTAGGAAGCAAGAAGTGGCAATCTCACTACCACCAAGAGAGAAGAGCCAGGAGTGGAGTGTGCTTCTTTGGAGCCTAAGATCCTTGCACATTGAGCCTCCTAGGTACTAGGACAGAAAGCTGTGTCACCAGAGGAGTGGCAGAGACAGAGTGGTGGGCTTCCTGGCCCACGGAATGAGGAAAGCTGAGTGCCTTTGGTAAGGAGGCTTGCTTGTGGAGTGGGGTATATCCAGGCACTTAACTGGGGAAGCTAGAGCTGAGTACCTTTAGGCTGAGGCTTATGATAGTGTGTGTGTGAGTCTGGGTACTTTAGAGAAACAAATCCACAGAAACTCATGTATAGGGGAGAGTTTTATATAAAGGTTAAGTGCACATCAAGAAAACATCCCAACCCAGTGCTGCCCAAGCCCACAATTCCAACATTAGCCCATTTGTCCAACACCAATCCACAAAGTCCTCCTCCATCTCACAAAACACACACTATGACGCTGACTGCAGGAGGAAAGCCAAATCTGAACGTGTAAGCATCTCAGCGCTGGCAGGGGTCTCCATACGGCTGTTCCAGTACCCAGGGCTGCATTGCGGTAGTTCCATGCGGCTTTTCCTTGGGGATGTCTTGCAGAAAGTGAGCCTTGCCAGCTGAGGCAGGGAACTGGCTAAGGCAGCTGCACCCTGGTCCAATCATCACAAAGCAAGAGACCTGAGAGCTAGAAAGGCAAGGCTCACTGAGCCATTTAGCTCTCCCCCCTTCAATTAACCCCAAGTGTGTTCATCGGCCAGGCTGGCAAAATAAACTTTAACTATCTCAGTGTGACATGCCGTTTGAACATTTATGGGTCCATGATGCCAGAGGAAGATAGAGGTCAAGGAGCTGTGTGGCTGAGAGGCCAAGGGCCAGAGAAAGTTGTGCCTGCATGTATGGCAGAAAAGAGGCTATTCTGAATGGCCCTTTCCGCCTGCTCCCCCCAGCGCTGCTCCGACCGCACCGCGTTCACTCAGAGCTCCGGGCTCCTCCTAAGCTAGCGCCACTGCTGTCTCCCTTCAGCCGCTATCACGATCATCTACCGGGACCTTGTCAGCCATGATGAGATGTTCTCCGACATCTACAAGATCTGGGAGATCGCAGACGGGCTGTGCCTGGAAGTGGAGGGGAAGATGGTCAGTAGGACCGAAGGTAACATCGATGACTCCCTCACTGGTGATAACGCCTCAGCTGAAGGCCCCGATGGCGATGGGACAGAAAGCACCGTGGTCACTGGTGTTGATATTGTCATGAACCATCACTTGCAGGAAACCAGCTTCACAAAAGAAGCCTACAAGAAGGACATCAAAGACTACATGAAATCAATCAAAGGC